TGTCCAGCCCTGGCACAGCTGCCCAGGGCAGGGGTGGAATCCCCATCCCTGGAGGGATATAAAAGCCCCGTGAACGTGGCACTTGGGGACATGGTCAGTGGTGGCCCATGTCCTGATGGGTTTCCATGCAAATCATTTCTCATGCACAGTCCATTTTTTTCAGGCCTTTCTGGAAATGGATCAGAGGCTTTGGGGGTCTTTGGATGTCTTGATCCCCCTTTACAGTCCATACCCACTCCTTGGCCTCATTCCTGCTGTGCTTATCTCCAGGAACTACAACAAGGATGTTTGTCCCAGAAAAGTGCTGCCCTGTCTCTGCAAGGCCCCTTCTGCAGCCAGATCTTGTTCTTTCTCACAGTGTGTTTAATCAACAGTCTTTGGTTGGCTCCATGTCCATCCAGCTATGGGTGTTTGGGACACACACATTCCCTGATCTTCTGGGAATTGGGAGCTCCAAGGGTCTCACTTTGCACTGCTGTTTATAGAGTCACAGGACAGTGGGCTTTAGTCATGGTAATTTTCTATCCTGGCCACAATTCCAGTCAGTAACTTTCTTTGAAGGCTCAATAACAAAAATCTTACTCCACTTGGGTTGTTGTTCAGGCAAGAAAAATGAGTTTCCAGGGCTATTCATTAAAAACATTTCCTGGGGTCAGACAGTATTTCTGATAAGCTCAATGGGGGAGGTTTAGGTTGGATTTTAGGGAAAGGTTCTTCACCCAGAGGGTGGTTTAGCACTGGAATAGGGAGTACCAAGGTGTGACTGCCCCCTCTGTCAGGGAGCTCAGACCTCCCACTTCAGACATCCGAGTGAGAAGGTGAATCTAAGACATTGCAACGGAGATTTTTTAATGTAGATTTTAAAAAATATAATTGGAAAAAAAGTCTTTCTGTTTTCCTGGAGATTTTGTTTTAGTGGACACTGGTACTTGTTCCCCCACTCAGTATTAATGATGTGGCTGTGGGCTGGGAGGGACATTCCCAAGGGGATTCCTGAGTTAAAAGACTCCGAAATCTCTGTGTTTCAGAGGAGAACACGAAGAGGGACCCTCCAGCAGATTGCTTTGAGAGCACCACCTGTGACTCAGAGGCACCAGGAAGGCCAGGAGAGAGGTTTCCCAAGGATCCCAGCCCTGGAGTGACATGGGACAGTCAGTGGAATTCAGAAATGATGGAAACAAACAGCACTGGGAACGGGAACGGGTACGACCGAGGGTTTGGTGAGCACTTGGATTTCTTCAGTGCTCAGGAAAAGAGGCCGTGTGTGTCCAAGTGTGAGAGAAACTCCCCGCAGCAGGACCAGCCCCAGGCTCCACAGGGACAAGGGGAGATGTTTCCAGGCCCCACGTGTGAGAGGGTGTTCCCTCTGCTGCACCCCCAGCTGGGAGAGAAGGGAATGGGGCCGGGAGCTGCCCCTGCCCCCTGCCAGGGGGGACAGCCCCCCGCGGGCACGGCCAGGCTCTGGGACCGGGACCTGGGCGGGGAGGAACCTGCTGAAAACGAGGAGAACTTCCCCATGGACACCTCTGGAGCCTGCTGGGATCCCCCCCCAGCCCGGGGCAGCCCTGCCCACCAGCAGCAGAGCCAGGGCCGGGGCAAGTCCTACATTTGCAGCGACTGTGGGAAAAGCTTCGTTTGCCACTCGTGGCTCGTCAGACACCAGACAACCCACACGGGAGAGAGGCCTTACAAGTGCTCCGAGTGTGACAAAACCTACAGGAGGAAGGATTACCTCCTCAACCACCAGAGGAGGCACACGGGGGAGGGGCTTTTCCAGTGTCCCCTCTGCAGGAAAAGGTTTGTGCTCAGGAGGAGCCTGGTGAAGCATCAGGAAAGCCACGTGCAGGAGGCACACCTGCCACTGGCCAGCTGGCCCTGCACGGACATCAGGGGCTCCGTGATGCATTCCATATAAAACACCCCTGCCAGCCCCCTGGGGCAGGGCAGGACCCCCAGCTCTGCCCTGGAGCGTGGTGGGAGGAGGAGGCTGTGGAACAGCCCCTCCCAGGCCAAGGGAGGTGGCTGGGGGTTATTTCCCACCGGTGCCTGTAGGTCTGGGGAGGTGTGGGGGCTCAGAGGTGCTGCTGGCTGTGAATCCGTGTGGGAGAGAAACCACGTGGACACGGAATTTGGGATGTGTGTTACAAAGAAGAGCTATCTAACAGAGAGAAAATGTCTGAAATGTTATCCCACAGCTGCTGGGAGTAGTCAGAAGGGCACAGAGCCTGGGAGGCAGCTAATTCCTGCTGATAAATCCCAGAGCTCCTGGGTGTCTCTGTTGCTGAACCCTGGGATAAGGATTCCTGAAGGTGGGATCCTTACCAGGATTTGCAAAACCACTGGGGAACCTGGAACATGGTTTGAATTTTGCATAGCCTTAAAAGTTGTGTTGCATTTATTTTCCCACGTTGTCTTCTGTGTTTGTTCGATTTTCTGAGTCCCGTGAAAGCAGAAACATGGAGGTGCTGCAGAAACCTGGGAAACGAGGAGTTAACGTGCTGCTGTGTCCCAGACACCCTTAGCAAGTGGAATAGGACCTGCTGGAGAGGGCCACGTGGAGGTAGGGCAGTGTTGCTCCTCCAGCCTCTTCCTTTGGGTCTGGCACATCCCACTCCAAAGCAGAAGGGAGCTCCCAGGATGCCCACGGTTAAAAGGAATGACAGATGTCAGAGGGATCCAAAAAAACTTGCCAAGTTTTATTAGCAAATTCCATGCTCAGCATGGGAATTGGTATTTTTCCCCTTACCTTCTAATAGAGGAAAAGAAAAAAGGGAAGAGGGAGAGGGAGATCAGGGAGGAGAGGGAAGGAGATCACCAGTCCTGGCTCCAGCATCAATCTGCCTGACACCATGTCCAGGATCCTGGGGGTGCCCCCAAACCCTGTGTCATCCTTTTTTATAGCCAAGTTTTCCCCACCCTGGGGCTTGTTTTCCCACTTCTCATGGAAATGAGTGAGCCTGCACAGTCCATTTCCCTGGATCCTCCTGGAAATAGGTCTTGGAGGCTTTGAGGGTCTTGATCCCACCCAAACTGATCCACCTTTGGTTGACACTCTGTGCCTGCTCCTTGACCCCACTCCTGTGCCTGCACTGTTCCATGTTATCTCCAGGAGCCAGAATAAGGGTGTTTGTCCCAGAGAAGTGCTGCCCCACCTCTGTGTGTCCCCCTTTTCCAGGCACATCCCGTCCCTCCGTGCACGGAGTGTTCTCACCCCCCAGTCCTTGGCTGGCTTGGGGCTATCGGTGTTTGAGACACACACACTGGCCCCTTATCTCCTGGCCTTCCACAGAATCCAAGCTGATAAACTTAGGCCTGAAAAATGACCAGCTTGGGACTCTCACTTGCTGCAGCAGAGTGCAGGGAAAGAGAATTGTTGGAGAATTCAGACAGGAAAAACATTTAGTAGAGAGAAACGAGAGCTGAGAGGAAACAGAAGGGAGGAAAACATGATTTGTTACTGTCTGTGAAAACTGAGCAGCTGCAGAAATGGTCACAGGGAAAGGAGAAAAAAAAAACCCAGAGTTGGGAAAAAAAGGTAGAGATGATGCTGAAGAAATGTCAGAGAGGCCAAAAATATCAGAGGGTCCCCCTCTGCAGCCACACCCCGTTCCAGTTTGTCCCTCCTTAGCCCCTCCTTAGCCGTGTTTGGGACACAGCAGCACATTAACTCCCTGGTGCCTGGGCTGCTGCACCCCAGTCACTGCCCAGCAGTTCTGGGACCTGCAGCTCCAAGTGGGGCCAAATCATCTGGAACTCCAGAAAGTCCCTTCCTGCCACAGCAGGAATTTGCTGTTGTGCTACATGGATGGTTCTTGAATCAGGGAGTGCAGGTGCTGCTGGAGTCAGTGCATTGGAGCCTCTGGAATTCTTTTAGGTTTAAGGTTGGCTGATTCCTGCTTCTGGCCCATAAATTAACCTGAGCAGTTTGGCACCCGGAGCGTTTGCTCCAGGGATTTTAACCCTTTGCCCTCCAGGTCCTACACCAGCATCCCGCTGTTAATACTGGATGTTGTGCTTCCATGTCTATTAGAAATTTTGTTAATTGTTGACGAGAACCAGCTGGAATCTGAATGCCCAAGCCATGGATAAGACTCCACTTGCTGGATTTCAGTCTCTCCTGGCTTGTGGCTGTTAAGGAAACTTCCCTGTCTCATCATCCAGGAGCCACTCTGGAAGTCATATTCCCACCACCTGAGCTGGGACAAACTCCAGGGACAAGATCCATGGATCCTGCTTGACTCCACACCCCTCTCACACAGTCCAAGCCGGTTTTCCATAGTGGAGTGGATCTGGGACACCTAGATCTTTAAAATAATTCCTTGAAATCACTTAATCATGATGCAACAACAGAGTAACAGCTGGAGCTGGTGCCTCCGGGGAGGGACCCCAAACAAAGGACCCCCCCCCAGGTTTTTATCCCCTCACAGTCTAGGATGACAATCTGGGATGATCAGCTCCTGCTGTGTCCCAGAATGTCCCTCATTGTGCCCTTTGTTATGGAAAGGCCGGCAGTTCCCGGGCTCTTGATTGTTCTCGGCAGTGCCCGGGATGCTCTTGCAAATCAACCTCAACCGCCAGGGTCGGATCGAATGGGATCGGTTTTCGTGTTCTCCACCCCGAGCTCCGGGAGATTCGGGGAGAATCATCATCTTTCCCCGGTTTCCACCCCGTTCTTCAGGGAACACGGTTAGTTCTCTAATCTGCGCAGCTGTAGCAGCCTGGGCTCCAAGGAGTTAAGGCGCTGCCGAGTCCCAAACGCTGATAAGGAGCAGGGTAGAACAGGATGTGGCTGGGAAGGGGGGCACGGGAGATAGGGCAGCGCTGTTCCCGAGGCCAACCTCCTCCTCCGGGCCCAGAGACACAGCAGAGCCCGCACAAGGGCGGCGTAGGAGCCATCGGGGAGCTCGGCACAGGGGGATCAGGACCACCGAAGCCCCTCCGACCCTTTTCCAGAAGGGTCCGGGAGGAGGGATCGCTCACACTGCCTGATTTGCATGGGAAGTGGGGAAACCTGATCCTGGGGCGGGGAAAACTTACCCGTAAAAAGGTGCCCCCACAGCGCCCAGGTGGCTCCGCCGGGACCGTGGACACCTTGGACGCAGGGATCGACGGTGGAACCGGGACTGGTGATCTTCCCTGACCTCTCCCTCTCCCCTCCTTTCTTTTACTCTTTTGTTTCTCTTAGTACTAAAAGATACGGGACTAACTCATCCCAATTTCTGACCCTGTGTGTGATTTACTAATCAAACCTCGTGAGCTCTTTTGGGACCCTCTGGCGTTTGTCGTTGTTGCTTTTGGAACCCCGAGTATCTATCTGCACACCCTGGGGGCTCCCCTCCTCTTCGGAGAGGGATTTGACAGCTGCACCTTAAACATCCTCCTTCAGAGACTGGTTTTGCTCCTGTTCAGGGTCTCTTAGGGGATTGAGTCTTTTGCAAGCACACGATTTATTCCTTATAATAATAAGAGTCTGGATTTGTCACCTTGGCGGTGAATAACAGAGGAGCAGCAGCGGCTGAGTCGGGGCAGAGCCCGTCTGGGGTCAGGACTTCTTCCCTTTTCCTTTAAGGAAACTTCCTTAAAGGGCCTTTTTTTACGTGCTTGTTTCTGGTTAAGTTTTACCAGGATGGGGTTTTTGTTGTTGTTGTTGGCTGGAAATTTCAGAGGGGTTTAATTAAAATTGTTAAATGCCACGAGTGGTTCCACGGCGGG